GAGTGTGGATAACAGATATGAAGGGATGTTTATAAATGAATTTTACAAAACAGAATTGCCGATTAACTCACTAATTCAGAGCTAAAATATAAATTCAAGAAGCTTTAAATTACAAACTAATTTTCAATGTTTTTTAAGGGCCAAGAGATGTACTCTTGCTATGATACAAGTTAAGAAAACTAACTAAGCCTTCTGGGTATAGATGTAGTTAGATCCTGTCTTTTTAATTTGTTCGTGCTGTAATAGAAAACTAGGTGAACACACTTTGTGCAGAGTCCTCTGCCATAGTAGCCATCAAGATTTTGAATGTAGAGACGTTGACAGGGTACATTCCCATATGTTTCACTGGAATGGCAGTAAGTATCGTCAGTAAGCCTAGGCATTCATAGCACCTCAATGAGACTCGTCAAAAATACAGGTGAAATCAATCCCTTAACAACTTTGGGCTGAACAGTTGTTGTATGCCTCGTTCAGTCCAAAGAAGGTAAAAGTAAAGGAATTAGAAGACTTGAAAATGAGGAGAGCGACACGAGGACATGAGAAACATTATATTTGAAATGTAATCACATTATTTCATTAAGCAATTAAAGGACAGATCTTTGAATTTTTCAACATAATTAGAGTAGGCGCTAAGTTCACACTAAAATTTAAGAAGTAAGTATCGAGAGGCATAATATACTTGTCACAAGAGACATTCTTTTAAGGGCCTTTAATGATGGCATCAATAAGGACCTTGTCGAAGCTAGATAAATTTTCTCTGCAGACCGACTCGGCCTAACACGGATTTGGCTTAGCAATTAGTACCATTTTTGATGTCAAAGGGCCGTGGTCCGTGCAGATCAACTAGAGCCTTCAGCTGCGAGCGTTTGTGATATCCAGTGCTCTCGTTACCGAAGATACGGTCAAAAACCAGGCTGAGTGGGTAGGCCAATGGACTAAGCAGAGCCATTATCAGGTATACCAATCTGTCGTCAAATTTAAATAAATAATAATATGCATCTCCATATAAACACATTAAATTGTAAAATAAACACAAACACATAGAGTGGTTAGTACCCGATAAATTTATAGGTTAATTCATGTGAGTTAGTGTGGCTAAACCTATTTTAATTTTTAATAAGCTGAATAATTTACGCATTGTTGTACAGGAATTTATAAGATTTTTATTCTAAATTGTTTGTTTTCGGAGTCAATCATTCCGACCAATTCGACAAAGATAGGGTAAATACAAAAATGTTTAAAAAAAAGGTGGGTTTAAAGTTTAGAAGTGACCGAACACGTGATAGAAACTGGACATGAAATAGGACGTTCTCAAACTAGTAAGTTTGCGGATTGTGGTACGTCTGCGGTTAAGAAAAAGATAAGAGAGGCTATTGAAATTAAAAGATAATGAAATACGTTGAATATGAGAAACGGTGGTATAAAGTTTATTAGG